TGTCAGAGGCAAAGGGGTAGACTAGAATGATTTCAGCTCTTTGGAGAGCTGCTCAAAGGATGTTCTGGTTAGTGCTTCTTGAGCTGGGTAGCTTGCAGCAGCTCCAGAGAACTTGAGGTTCCACAGAGAGATATCAGAAAGAGCAAAAGATTATAAGATCTATAAAAATGGAAATCTACAAATTCTTCTAAGAATTTACACATAAAAGTCTAGAGAAGTTGCATCCACAGAAAAAGTTCAGTGAGTACCCAGAATCTAATCGGGATGATTAGTGGAGATTTTTCTCTATATAGCATCATTATAGAAAGCCTGGTAGACGTGGCTCTTTCTCTCTGAATGTCATGTTTTAATCCCCAAAGTTATGAGGCACGTAAGGAATCAGGACAACATGGCAAAATCAAAGGAAGAGACTATTCAGGAACCAGTCTTTAAAAAGTGGAGTTACACAAATTGCTTCACAAAGAATTCAAATCTACCATCATAAAGGTGCCTCAGGAAAAATGATAATATCAACAAGGAACCAAACACATTTTGAAGCTAAGAATGTGGTAACTAAATCAAGAGATATGCTAGGGATTTCAGCAGCAGAGCAAGGAGTCAGCAAAACTCAAAGTCAGGTGATTTTTTAAAAAAATTACAATTCTTATTATACATATAGAGCACAATTTTTCATATATCTGGTTGTATACAAAGTATATTCACACCAATTCGTGTCTTCATACATGTACTTTGGATAATAATGATCATCACATTCCACCATCATTTCCATCCCCATGCCCCATGTCATTTCATCAGGAATAAAGAATAGTTACATATGCACCCAGTCTCAGGTCACTGAAACATGAAGCAAATATTAACAGTACCAGTAGGAGAAATAAGAGGATAATAGTAGGAGATTTCAATATCACATTTTCAATAATGGATAAGCTATCTAGACAGAATATCAGTAAGGAAAACAGCCATGTGTGGTGATGCGCACCTGTAATCTCAGCAACTTTAGAAGCTTGGGAGGCTGAGGCAGGAGGATTGCAAGTGCAAGGCCAGCTTCTGCTATTTAGCAAGGCCCTAGGCAATTTACAATAAAAATATAAAGGGCTGGGAATGTGATTTGGTGATTAAACAACCCCGGGTGCAATCCCTGGTATACACACCAAAAAACAAAACAAAATAAAACATAGGACTTAAACAGTACTGTACTCCATATAAATGGACTACAGTACTGTTTAAAGACATTGAAAGAACATTTCTTCCAGCACAGCAGAATAATCAGATTTGAGTGTATTGAAATCATATGAAGCATCCTTTTTTTTTTAAAAGAGAGAGAGAGAGAGGGAAAATTTTTAAAAAATATTTATTTATTTTTTTAGTTTTCTGCGGACACAACATCTTTGTTTGTATGTGGTGCTGAGGATCGAACCCCGGCCACACGCATGCCAGGCGAGCACGCTACCGCTTGAGCCACATCCCCAGCCCAAAGCATCCTTTCTGATCACAATGAAATGAAACTAGAAGTCAGCAGAGGGAAATTGGAAAATTCACAAATGTGTGGAGATTAAGCACATTCCTGAACAAATTTTTTGGATTATAAAAAGGGGAACCAAAGATCTTGGGTTCAAACCCTAACACCACAGGTTGGGGACAAAGAGAAAATAACCAGAAAGAAAAGCAAATTATGTTTATTTGGTTTAAAGTTGACTTAAGGAATGAATTTTTAAAGTAAAAGCATCAATTTACTAGATTAGAGAAGAAACGAGTAAAATAGAAAATAGAAGAAAAATTTACAAAACTGAGTTTTTTTTTTCCCTAAAAATCAACAAATAAATAAACTTTTAGCTAGACTAAGAAGAAAGAGAGAAGACGCAAAATCAGAAATGAAAAAAGACATTCCAAATGATGCTACGGAATTAACAACACTTAAAAGAGGCTGTTAGGTTTTGACTCATTGAATACCTAGTAGTAGATAAAGTTGCTAAGAACACAGACCACTTGCCAAGACTGAATCATAAAGAAATATAAAATCTGAAGAACCTTGCAGTGGTTTGAATGGGGTCTGTCCTAAAAGATTTATGTGTTGGAGACTTGTTTCTCAGTCTGGTGGTGTTAAAGAGGTGGTGTGATCTTTCAGAGTTGGGGCTCAGTCATTACTAGCCCCTGTATGTTGCTGGCTTCCCATCTTGCCATAAGAGCTCTTTGCTGTCAAGTGCTTTCCTATCATGATACCAGCAGCTGTGAGGTGAGCCTCAACTAAGGTGAATCTGTGCCTGCCATCCCCCATCCTGGACTTTAAACATCTGAGACTATGAGCTAAAATCGCTATTCTTTATTTAGCCTCAGATGTTTTCTTATAATAGGAAACAGACTAATGAAGAGCAATATGGATAAGAAAATTGAATCTGTAAAATCCTCTTGACAAATAAAAGTCCAGAACCAAATTCTTCAGTAGAGAAATCTAATGCCATTTAAAGAAGTGATATCAGTTCAGACACTCTTCAAAAAATGAAGAGGAGGCAAGCAATATTTCTATATTCGTTTTATAAGAGTGGCATTACCCTGATACCAAACTCAAATAACAACATCACAAGAAAAGAAAACTGCAGGTCATATAATTGTCAGTCATAGAGGCAAAAATCTCCAACAAAATACTAGCTAACCAAGTTAGTATACCGAAAGGATTCTACACCATGATGAAATGGCATTTATTCAAAATAATTGAAAGCAAAAGTCAGGTGGATAAACTCTGCATAATTCTACTCACATGAATTTTTAAAGTAGTTAATAGAAACAGGAAGTAGAATGGTGATTGTTACAGATGGGGGAGGGGAAATAGGGATTTGTTCTGTATGTGTAGTTAGTCATGCAAGATGCAATCATTCTAGAAAACTACACATTATGAATATAATTGTCAATGCTAAACACTTAAAACTGTTAAAAGAGTGGATATTTTGTTATGTATATTTTGCTACTACTATAAAAGAACAAGAAAAAGGCCATCTGGATGGGATAGGAATAAGAGGAAAAGTGATCTCATTTCAAAACTACTTGATCTTATATATAGAACATCCTAATAAAATCCACCCCCATAAAGAGTACTAGAGCTAATATTGCGTTCAGCACAGTTGTGTACAAAGTCAGTGTACAAAGTTAGATTTATTTCTTGCACTAGAAATGAATAGTATAAAAATGAACTTAGGGTTGGAAGGATAGTTCAGTGGTGGAGTGCTTATCTGCATGTGTGAGGCCCTAGGTTCAATCTCTAGCACTACCAAAAAAAAAAAAAAAGATTAAGAAATCAAATTCATTAAAAAGTATATATAGGAGGAAGCAGTTTACCAAAGACAGTATATACAAAAGCAAATTAAAAGAGTATAAAGAAGATGTAAATACATAGGAAAACTTATTCATGGACATAAAACTTCTACAAAGTTAAGGAAATCCCTGTGAAAATTTCTTTTTCCTTGTGAAAGCGGACATATAGATCCTCATTCATAATGAATTGAAAGGACCCAAAATAACCAGAACAATATTGAAAAAGAATAAAATAGTAGGAGTCATACTTCCTAATTTCAAAACTTAAATACAAATGTACAGTAATCGAGACTGTGTGATATTGTTAAAAGGATAGACATATAGCTCAATGGGACAGAATTTAGAGTCCAGAAATAATAATATATTTATAGGACTGGGGCTGTAGCTCAATGGCGGAGCGCTTACCTTGTATGTGTGAGGCATTGGGTTCTAACCTCAGCACCAAAATAAATAAATAAATAAATAAACAAACAAATAAATAAATAAATGGAAATAAAGGCATTCTGTCCATCTTTTTTTTTTTTTAAAGGAGTAAATCTTATTCTTGGATAGTATCATTAATATTATAAGAGTCATTAACATATTTAGATTATCCTTTCAAAATATGCAATTTTGCATGTATTTACAAAAATAGACTATACTGATATAAAATCATTTCAATCTATCAATTCAGTATTTTGTTTTTTAAATTTTTTATTCTAGTTTGTTATATATGACAGCGGAATGCATTACAATTCATTACATATTTAGAGCCTTTAAAAAATTAGGCATTTGATTTTAAACAAGTGTGCCAAAAAATTCAATAAAAGAAAAGTTTTCAAAAAATGGTGCTGGGACATTTGATCCACTTAGAAAATAAATTGGGTACCTATTTCACACAATGTACAAAAATTAGTGAAAATAAATCAAAGACTTAATTGTAAGAATTAAAGCTATCAGATTCTTAGAAGAAGAAAACAAATGTCTTAATGACCTTGAGTTAGGCAATAGTTTCTTAATTAATTCATTTGAAGCCTATAGTAACCAAAAAGAAATATACATTTGACTTTTATCAAAGTTTAAAACTTTTCAAGAAAGTTAAAAAACAGTCTGCAGGAAGGAAGTATTTACAGATCCTATCTGATAGGGTTCTGTGATATAGTCAGAATGTTAGTCTTGCTTACCCAGCCCCCAGCTCATCTATTGCATCCCATAATGACCAAGGTGAAGGTCGAAACTTTGGGGGAGTGATGATCTTGTGTGGGTTCTGCTTTCATGAATAGGATTAGTGCCCTTATGAAAAAGACAGTGTAGAACTGCCTTGTCCTTCCCACTCTGTGCAAATTATGTAGGAAATGGGACCTCACCAGACACCAGATCTGTGGCATCTTGTCCTTGGACTTCATTATCCATAACTGTGAGAAATAAATTTCTGTTTATAAGTAACCTCGTCCATAGTTTGTTGTTTTTGTAGTCTGCAGGGATTAGGAGTAATGACTAGAATGTAGGCAAAACTGTTAACTACTTAAAAAAAAAAAAGAAAAAGAAAAATAATCCTGTTTAAAACCCAGAGGTAGTGGGGTTTAAATAAACACTTATGTATAGATAGAAGATGCAGAGATAGATATTAAGAATGCAAGTGGCCAGGCACATAAAAAGATGATCAGCATCATTAGTCTTTAGGGAAAATAAAAAATTCAGATATTTTTATTGTGTTAAACAGTTGTACATGTTCACATGTCTGTTGCTGGCTGTGCAGTGGTGTATTCTGTGACACTTGAAAAATATTTTTTTTTTTTCTTTAGGAAAATTCTACAAAAATGTCTCTCTATCCGTCTCTTGAAGATTTGAAGGTGGACAAAGTAATTCAGGTATGTTTAAATACTTCTTTTTTCTATATTGTAACATACATTCTACTTATTTGTGAAGCAAAGCTAGAAACATAACTAGTTGATGTATTTGTATATATTTTTATAATTCATAAAATTTTTTGTTCATTCCTGTTAATGGTAGACAAAAATGTCACAGAGAAACTAGTAATTCTTTTTCATTCCACTGTGAATTAATAGGTGTGGGATGTTATTTCTTTAAAATTTGACTTAAACTCTTCGAAGACAGCTTCTTTTTCAGACTAATTTTTAAACTACTACAACAAATTTAAGTTGATAAAATGTACTCCAGCCTTTACATAATTACAGTTTTGTGTAAAATTGGTACATTTTTCTTTTGGGATCTTTTAGGTATGACCAATCTTTATAATAATTCTAACCCTCCTATTTGAAATTAAAAAATATAGAAATAGTGAAGCACATGCTACTTTTAAAAGAGCAGTATTGTAAAAGTACAGGGCATAGTGATTTCTTTTCTTCATGTAATAGCTTTGAATATAAATGCTTCTACTTATAAAGAAAATGTGGAGTTGGGATCAGTTCTTGGTATTTTGGAAATATTTGATAATCTTTTTAGCTGGAAACCATTTTGAACTCATCTGTTTATAGTTTGCTTTCTATTTGATCTCTTATAAACTCAGACTCTGTTCAGCTATGGTTTGTTATTTTAACTTGACAAGATAAACCACACTGTATTTATTACCCACATTGTATTTATTAATACTCTAAATGATCTTTGTTTGGGGGGTACTGAGGATTGAACTCAAGGGCACTAGACCACTGAGCTTCATCCCCAGCCCTGTTTTGTATTTTATTTATAGACAGGTTCTCACTGAGTTGCTTAGTGCCTTGGTTTTTACTGAGGCTGGCTTTGAACTCACGATCCTCCTGCCTTAGCCTCCCAAGCCGCTGGGATTATAGGTGTGCACCACTGCACCCTGCTAAATAATTTTTTTAATATAATAATTATGAGGGGTTTCCTTTTGAATTTTTCACTGTTTGCAAACCCCTTATGCTACACTCATTTTACTTAAGTTCTGACATTTTACTCTAAAATGAGATTTATCTTAATGATTGAATAATGATCAGAAAAAGTTTATTATGAAGATGTGAAAAGTCTTAAGCAAGCTGAAGAACGTAATCATTTTAGGTAAAATATTGATCTTACTGGGGTAAAAGGAAAAAAGCAGAAGCAGTAACGTGTGACTGGGATTATTAACTTTGTGGGAATGGCTGAACTACAGGAACAGCGTCACTAGCAGTTATTTTCCATCTTAAATCAAGGGTGGGTATTAAAGTGTGGTTTGTAAAACTTACAGTTCATCTGCCAGAGCTTTGATGCTTCTGAGTTTTAGGTGGCTTATTCAATCATCTTAAATATTGTATCACTTCTTTAGTATTTTGGCAATTTTTTTAAATGTAGTTTTTATTTCTACAAAGTTCACCTGAACAGTACTTTTTCTTTTAGAAAGCTTTTATATGTGAAATACTTCACTTTCCAGAATAACCACTAAGCCATTAATTAATGTGACATCAGTACATTATCTGGATAAGGATTTGTAGGCAGATTTGAGACTAATCTTTGTTTTCACTTTTTTTTTTTTTTGGTTAGCTTTTTATGGAACTTACAGTTGGCTCTGAACAGAGGCTTTTGATTTTGAAAACAGCAGAAAAAGTCATTGATAATTGACAAGTATTGGATTGAAAAATAAAGAGGGATATAGTCTACATCAGGCTGATTTCTTTAAGGAGAAACAGGTTGCATGAATAATTCCGTTACAGCACTTTTTGTTAGATCAGAAAAATATTTGCTAAGTGATGGAGCCATGAGTAAGGAGGGAAACACGGTTCTTTTCTTCCCCCTGGATTAAAAAGTATTACTAATTTAGCCATTACAATCTTGGGCTGTGTTTTGGGGTTTTTTTTTTTTTGCTTCATTTTCTAATATGGATTTGTTTTATTCTTGATAGTCCTGAAAGGATATTGTAGAGGAGTGCAGTATTCATTTTCTCATCTCCTGGCCTTTTATATCACAGCAAAACTCAATCATAGCAGTGAACTGGCAGTTCATATTTTATAAACTACTTTACAATAGCCATTAGGCTGTGGCTTTCAACATTGTATAAATCCTAACAGGAGCTTGTGGTTCCTCATCTTATAAAAAATTAAGCTTTTAAGAAACAAGGATGTAGAGAACCAGTGCTTTCATTTCCTGTTAATGGTGAGCAGGGTTTGACAGAAGAGACTCCACAAGTATGGATTCTTTCTACATGCTTTCTGTAAATGACAAAAGAGCAGGCCCTGGCAGTAATTGCTTGGGGCACTGTCCCTCATGCACCCCTGTTTTTTTTTTTTTTCAGGTTTCAAGGTAAGTTTGAAATAATTTGCTACATTTAATGATTTCCTGTTTTTATTTCCTTGTTTTATTTTTACTACAAATTACATGACTAAGTAATTTTATTTGCAGAGAACTTTCTATAAATTCTTAAGTGTTCTTTGGCTAAGAAAAAATAATGAAAGAATAAAAAATAGTATAAAGAAAAGCAGTATTTTCTAAATCCATAAACTATATATATTCGAGCAGTTTCAGGTTCCCATCAAAGTGGAACAAATGGCACAGTACATCCCTTGCTCCCACAAGTGTGCAATCTCTGTCACTCTGGACATGTGCACTTGAGTGGTACATTTTTTAACAGTTGATGAATCTCTACCATTATCACCCAAACTCCATAGTTTACTTTAGGGTTAATTCTTTTTATCTGCCATTTTCTATGGGATTTGACATGTATATAAAGACATTGTCATATACAGAATAGTTTTACTGCTCTGAAAATCTGTGTTCTGCTTCTTCATCCCTCTTTACAACCTTTAGCAACAACTAATCCTTTTACTTTCTGCCCAGTTTTGCCTTTTTCAGAATGTCATATAGTTGACATAATGCAATATCTAGCCTTTTCACATTGGTTTCTTTCACTTAGTAATATATGTTTAAGTTTCTTCCCTGTCTTTTTTTTCCCAGCTTGATAGTTCATTTCTTTTTAGCAATGAGCAGTATTTTTTATTTCCTTACAGATGATTCAAGAAAATGGCTACTTGGCTACTTTTAGTTGAAAGTTGGTAAAAGAACTTTAAGAATTCACTTTGAATTTGTGAATTGTTATAAGTAAAAGATTTTCATGCTGCATTTTGTTTCAATTTAGAATGTGTAATAAATTGTAAAACATACTATAGGATGACTCAGTTATCTAAGTACAATATATGAGAACAATCACAATTCAGATGAATTTAGTACCATTCAAAGCATTGATTGACTGTACTTACTTACAGTTCCATCTCTCTTAGCACCTTGAGACTACTTTTGGCATTGATTGCACATCTGGGTTGAGATAGTATAAACTTCATTTCTTATTTTGACACATTTTGAGCTAAATAGTAAGGGATAATTAGATTGGTCATACAACTTATTGCCAAACTCTAAATGACATGATTATTGCAGAGAAAGTTCTTTCTGTAAAGGACAAAGTACTTCTGTCTGTGGAATGTACTTTGTACTTATGACATAGGCTATGAATCCCTGAGACAGCATATTTGAGCATGAGTAGCATGGATAAATATCTGTTTAGTGAAAATAATTCTGTGAGTGTTTTTAACATCATTCTTTTATGTTAGTAATAAAGTATGTTTTAGGCATTCCTATACTTGCTAAGTATAGATTATTTCAGTGAGACATACTAAAGTGGTAGAATAAATAAATATTAGAAACATAATATGAAAATTTTAGTTGTTTTTTGATATGTGACTTATATGAATATGATAGAGCTTTTTTACCTTATGCAGATAATTTAAATGATTTTATTTGGACTAATTAGTGAAAGAATGATAAAAATGTAAAATGGTTTGTCATCCATTTTGGATTACTTTTTGAAAATAGTAATTTATTAATTAATTTGGTGAACACTATGAAGTACTTTGTTATCAAGAAATGTAGAGTAGCCAGGGGTGATAGTGAGCAACTATGATTCCAGATACTTGGGAAGCTAAGGCAGAAGGATCTTACTTTCCAGACTGGACATCTTAGATCCTGTCTCAAAAAATAAAGTGCTGGGGAGGTTCTTCATTGGTAGTGCATTTGCCTTGTATGTATGAGGCCCTGTATTCAATCTTAGTACTGGGGTGGTGAGACTCAGAAATAGATGTAAAATGATGCATATTCAATGTTTATGATAACCTTAAAATATTCAGAGTATGAAATATGTTCTTGATTCAGATTTCCTTTGAAAAAATTTATTGCTGAAATGTTTGAAATGAAATTTACTTAAAAACTTAAGATTTTAGTTTCTTTTTGGAAGTACTGGATTAAATAAATTAAGAATGTTAAGTAAGAATTTATGATGTGGTACTAGAATTTTCTTCTTTTCTTTTTCAGGCTCAAACTGCCTTTTCTGCAAACCCTGCCAACCCAGCAATTTTGTCAGAAGCTTCTGCTCCCATCTGTCAAGATGGAAGTAGGTTTATACTTTGGGTTTATTCTTTCAGCACAGAAATACTTGTTAAGTGTAATCCAAGATTCATTTTTTTTTCTTTTTGGATAGACTGTATAAAATTGGTGGTTAAAGTTCTAGTAGAAATAAAAATATTTATTAAAAAATAGCCCTTTATCTAATTAAGAGAATAAACTGTGACTCTGAAGATTTGTTTTATGACTTAAGTAAACTGATTTTAGTGTGACTCATAAGTCTCTAATAAGATTAATTTATGAAAAAACCTTACATGGGAACTATGGTTTTCTTCACTGCTGCTCTTGAACTTCATCAACCGTCTCCTGTTTTTGCTAGGGGAACTTATAAAATTTCCAGCTACCTACATTTTGGAATATTTCACAGATTCAGAAGTATTTTAAATCTCCATATCCCGTCTTATTTTCCTTCACATTTTAGAGGGATTCAGGACAGAGTCTCTAAATAAGAGGACTTAAGATGCAAATCCAATGTTATATAAGTTCTTTGTGTACTGTCATCTTGTTTTTTAGCTATTTATAACATTTTTACTTTAGAATCCATTTTAAGTTACAAATAGATCATTTTAAAAAGTGCTTTTGAAAATAGTACACAACTACTAAAAACTTTTAATATTATTAATCTAAAAATACTGTTTCTAGGGGCTGGAGTTGTGGCTCAGCAGTAGAGTGCTTGCCTAGCATGTGCAAGACCCTGAGTTTGATCCTTAGCGCCACATAAAAATAAATAAATAAAGGTAGCATGTTCAACTAAAAAATAAATATTTAAAAAAAATACCGTTTCTAGGATTTCATTGGAATGTGATTAACATTCTTAAAATGATATGGGACACTTTGAATTTTCTTTCTTAGTGTTGTCAGTTAAGAAGACTCATTCCATAGCCATGTTTAGTGAATGAGTCACAGAGTAGCTGGCTTGACAATAGACATTTTGATCATTTCTGAATTGGAGAAATCAGCCATACCCTTATACAATTCCTAATGAAATAGGTTTTAGAAACAGAAAAGGGAATATAATGTATTTGGAAAAATTGTTTTTACTCTTGAGTAGTCAGTCCTCTGTATCCTTGGGTTTTGTATCCACAAATTTATTCAGCCACACATTGAAAATAGAATTGCCAGTTGTGCATGCTTATAATCCCAGCAACTTGGGAGGCTGAGACAGGAGGACTGCAAGTATATTCAGGGCCAGACTCAGCAACTTAGCAAGGCCCTGTGTCAAAAAAATAAAAAGGACTAGGGACATTGCCCAGTGACAAAGTGACTCTGGGTTCAATCTCCAGTACTAAAAATAAATAATAAAAAGTAAAAATTATATGTACTGAACATGTACAAAATTATTTTCTTGTCATTATTCTCTAATATAATCAGTAACTATTTATGTAGCATTGCATTATATTAACCTAATACAAGTAATCTAGTGGTGATTTAAAGTATATGAGAGGATATGCATAGGTTATATGTAAATATTATACCATTTTATATGAGAAACTTGAGGATCTACACATTTGGTTTTCTGTGCTGGGTCCTGAAACCAATCCCCCATGGATACTAAGGGATAACTGTCTTAGAAATCGAAGATTGATTCAGTTCAGATGTATTCATATTTTATGACTTTTATCTTAACATTTTTTATATTTTTCATTTTGAATCACAAAGATAGGGAATTCCCCCTCCAAATTGCTACTTTATATTCTAGATTTTCTAACTTAAATATCATTTTTTAAATACAGGTAGAAGTCCTGTGTAAATGGTAGTTTTAATTTTGAGTATTCTTTCAGTGCCTTTTCCTTCCTTTATTCATTCTTCTGTTTATATTAGATCTCTATCCTAAACTGTATCCGGAGCTCTCCCAATACATGGGCCTGAGTTTAAATGATGAAGAAATATGTGCAAATATGGCCATGGTCCCTGGAGCATCATTTCAGGGGGTATGTATAGTATAATTAATTTTGAATTTTGTGTCATAATTTTATACATAGATTTAAGCTCTCCTTTTTGTAATTAACTCACAAATTTATAACTTTTAAGCATTGACCAAGTCTCTTAAATTTTACACTTCCTTGTGGATATTACTTTTTGCATTATCTGTTTCCTATTGTGCTGTTACCACTGTTTGGATTTATTAGGACTTAAAAATTCAGATGTTTGGAAAAAAATTCATGCTTGAGGATGGGGATGTAGTTCAGCGTAGACTCTGTGCTCACCTAGCACATGCGAGGCCCTGGGTTCGATCCTTGGCACCACATAAAAATAAACAAAATAAAGGTATTATGTCTAATTAAAAATAAGTAAATAAAATACAATTAAAATAAATAAAAAAAATTCAGATGCTTTTTACTAGTTCTTTGTCTTCTGCATTTATTCAGATACTGAAACCTAGATTCTGTCTCTCATATTTCTTGTGCTCATTTTATCCATTCCAGTTCTCCTATAACCACATTCAGGGTTTCTGGACTTCTAAACTAGACTATTACAGTAATATCTTACATTTCCTGTAGTAACTTCTTATTTCAAACAATATTAAGATGCTGTTAGGTCAATTAATCTGAAGTACACATCTATCATATTTCTTTGCTCATAATCTCTTAATAGTCCTATACAATCCCAAACTCCATATAATTAGGCCCCAGATTCTGGGCTTCAACATATCTGGTGGTTATAAATATAGTAAAAAGATCATGACAGAATCCATGTCATAACCCTGGTGCTTAATATAGTACCTTGCATTTATTTAGCAAATATTTATTGAAAACTTGCTTGTGTTAGTCAGGGTCCAGTTGTGAAAATAAATTGTAGTAAGTTTTTATCAGAGATAATTTAAGAAATGAAGAATTGAAAAAGCAAAAATTGAATATAGGTGTAACTGCAAAAAGTTAGCTACTTCTCTCAGGACTGAGTAACATAGGGAAGAAGTTGGAATAAACAGAAGCTTAGGCAGAGAACTCCACAGAGCTAGAATCAGATCTTAGAAGAGAGAACCCTGCTGAAGTATCATGCCTTCTGAAGGGTTGAAATGAGGCTGGTTCTGAGTGACAGTAATAGATAGATACTGGAAATAGCTGTGTAGGTTAAGGGCCATGCTCAGGCAGTGCTGATAAAAATCAAAAGCAAACAGAAAATAGGCACTTTTCCCTCCAATCTCTAGGGCCTCATGTGATGAAAGAGAACCTAAAACATTCTGATAAAGGAAAATGTAACTTCAACAATTCAGGCCCCAGCACCACCAAATAAAGAATAGAAGAGTGCATTTGGAGCTTTTTGACAGTAGCTTAATACCAGGGTATATTCACATACTTGTAGAAATATTTGAACTTTATATGACAATAACGACGTTATATTTTATTCTTAAAAGGTGCAGTTCACCTTCATAAAACCAAGATTCAGCAAAGTTTTTTTTCCATAAAGTGTCCCATAATCATCTTAGTCTTTAATAATCACTTATGACCTGTCACGTATTTTGTATTTTATTTAGAGTCAGGGTCTCAGTTGCTTAGCACCTTGCTCTTACGGAGGCTGGCTTTGAACTCAATCCTCCTGTCTCAGTCTTCCGAGCTGCTGGGACTGCTGGGATTACAGGTGTGCGCCACTGTGCCCAGCTTGTTTACAACTTTTAAAAATATAAAAATCATTCTTAACTCTAGATTATGTAAAAATCAACCAGGTACCTCTGATAAAAATGAAGTGGCTTCCCCATAAAAATACCTTCAGAAAAATATCTCTCAGAAGCATAGCATGGCCTTTAAGTTTGAGGAAAATATATTTGAAATGAAGACAAATAAAAATAGAGTTGCTTTTTGAGAGGGATACATTCTAAGAAATGATTTGTTAGTTGATTTCATCATTGTGAAGATGTGGAGTGTACTTGCACAAACTGAGATGGCCATGTAATCAATAGGCCATAACTTATGAGAGTATTTTCATTGGTGGTCTGTTGTTGAGTTAAATGTCAGTATGCAGCAAATGATGGTATGCATGAAATAAGTGCCAGTGAATTTGAAAAGGCACAAAAAAGGGAATTAGTAAGTAAATACTAGTGTCATTTTTTGCAGAAGTCAGACTTTATCTGAAAGAAATTATTTATGGATTAATTTTTGGAAAAGCACAACTGAGTTACTTTCCAGGTATTTTAATTTTTTTTCAGGACATTGTTTCTAAATATTGATACATTCTATATGTTTTTGTCAGCAGTTGGTAGCAAGACCTTCCAGTATGAATTATATGGTGGCTCCTGTAACGGGTAATGATGTTGGAATTCGTAGAGCAGAGATTAAGCAAGGGATTCGTGAAGTCATTTTGTGTAAGAATCAAGATGGAAAAATTGGGCTTAGGCTTAAATCAATAGATAATGTAAGTACTTTAATATCTATTTTAGTTTATCTAAATAGCTTATAAAATATTAAGTGATTAATATTAAAATAATTTGAAATAGAAATGTTTTAGTTGTAATGAGGCATCTATAACTGAAAATATTATAAATATTAACTTGTTTAATTGGAGATGCCCTATTTTGAGAAGGCAGACTAGGAACTTGCAAGAATATTACTTTGAATGATGTTTTTTTTTTTCTTAGTACTCACCAGACTACTTATTATAAACTATTAAACTATGTTATGAATGTATAACATGATAGAAGAACATTCTGGGATTGAAATAGGGTGACATATATGAAAGTTAAGAAAAAAACTGATCTGTGAGAATCAACATACATTCATTTTTTAAAAAACATTTTTAAAGTAAATGATGATGTGAGATGATTTTGCAGGTTTGTTATTTCTGCCCTTGAAATTCAAATTTAATAGGTCATTTTCTGAGCATGTTTCTAATTATAGGGCAATCACTATTTTAATAAAATAGTAATAAAACAATTATTTCTCACCATACTGAAGACATGAAACAGGGTTACTTTCTGAGGAACATTTTAGAATTTGTTAGACATGTTGGGTCTTTATCCTGATTTATAGTTTTGGCCATTACTTTATTGGATTTAGTGTCAGTCTTAAGTCTCATCAGCTTGATAAATCCAGCTTTTGCACATACAAAAATAAGGCTAACCTTGGCAGGAAACCCCATTCCTGCCTGAAAATCCAGAGGGTTGAGGGTATTTGATTTCTTCATGCTCATAGCTCATTGAAGACCTGTCAGTGTGCTTGATTTAAAGGAGTTAACATGGCACATACTCATAGTTTTTCTTTTCTTGTTTTCCTTTTTCTTGGTTTTGATGGGAGATTTCTAACCAGCACTTTCAAATCATGACCACTTATTTTCTTATTGTTTAGGGTATATTTGTTCAGCTAGTCCAGGCTAATTCTCCAGCCTCATTAGTTGGTCTGAGATTTGGGGACCAGGTGCTGCAGATCAATGGTGAAAACTGTGCAGGCTGGAGCTCTGATAAAGCACACAAGGTGCTCAAACAGGCTTTTGGAGAGAAGATTACTATGACCATTCGTGATAGGTAAGCTGTTGATAAACAGTTCAAATGGAAATTCAGGACTAGTTTTCCATTTTTTTTGGGCTTTCAGGATTCTGTAAATATAGTGTTGGAGAAAATAATCAAATGTTATTGATTAAGCCTTAGGATCTTGAAGTTGTTTGGTGCAGATTTTTCTTACATAGTTTGATTTTTTAAAAGTAAAATTCTGATTTTGCATCATACACCTTATTTCAGAGTTTATAGGTGTCACGAGGGTCGGAGTCTACTTAGAACTCCAGAAGTTTATGAGTTTTGAAAACCACATCTGGCCTTTTAGGTGATTATGAAGCTCTGGTTGTCAAGAGGATAAAACATTTGGTAGTGCTTAGTTCAGTTATAACTCTTAAATATTAAGCACATGGTACTAAGCCTCCCTTTATCTTATTTGCCAGTCCACACAAGTGTGAAGGGTGGAGCTATATCACATTGTTACAATAAATTTGTGAATTTTTGTTTATCTCAGTTTAACTTCTGTTTTCTCTATAATTGTTTCTAATTTCTAATATATTTTAGGTATTTAGTAAGCATTTTTATAGATGAAAGTCATTTTTTCTGTATATCTAAACATAGTTTTACCAACAGGAAGATGTGACTTTTGAATTTTATAATGTAAGCACAGGTTGATTTATGATAGCAGGGTTTTAGAGATGTGAGCAAGTATATCTGATATGACAGCTTCTAAGAGCACACACTGACTGTGTATATAGCTGTGTGCCTTCTTTTCCAAATGAGGCTTGAGGAAATCTTACTGCTTTTGTAGGTCTTCTAAAATAGAGCAAAAAAAAGCAACAACAAAAACACCCATTTTTCTATAAAATTTTCAAACTTAAGATGTGAGAAATACTATAAAAGGTTTTAAAATTTTTTTAATGTTTCTTAAGAGGTAGGCTTTAATAAATAGTAAAAGTTAATAAAAGGAAAAATTCAATTTTAGCTCTTGATTCAGGTTAAAAAATTCAAGCCTCATTGCTAATGCAAAAGTATTATGAATTTTAAAGGGAAAAGCTATTGTTGAACTGCAAGAAGCATTTTGTTCACTTGTCTTTGATAGTAGTCAGGATTTCCTTCTTCAGATAAACCAAATCATAATGAAGATATTTTTGAAAGCATTTTACACAAATTACAGTGCATGTACAACATCAGAGCCATAATTAGTTTTTTGCTGGAAACACTTAATATTTATTATAACTATCCAATAGGATGGAATTTATGGTTATATGAATTCTGTTAAATGTTTACCTTAGTATTAAATTTTTTTATTGATTTTTTTAAAAAATAAATGACAGTGGAATGCATTGCAATTCTTATTACATGCATACAGCACAATTTTTCATATCTGGTTGTATATAAAGTATGTTGACACCAATTCGTGTCTTCATACATGTACTTTGAATAATGATGTCTATCACGGTCCATCAGTATAAAATTTTAATTGAAATTGTCCATTTTGTTGCAGGCCCTTTGAACGCACAATTACTATGCACAAGGATAGTACTGGACATGTTGGTTTTATTTTTAAAAATGGAAAAATAACATCCATAGTGAAAGATAGTTCTGCAGCCAGAAATGGTCTTCTCACTGAACATAACATCTGTGAAATCAATGGGCAGAATGTCATTGGCTTGAAGGTGAGGAATAGTCCTTCTGTGTATTCCTGCTGCAGTTTTATTTTAGCAGACTTCTTTTTCCTTTGATCATTTAGGTGGTGCTGTTTTATATTGACCTCCAAAATACAGAAACTTGGGAGGTGCAAGGTGTAGGACCTGGGGCTGTGGTCTGGCCTGGACCCAGATAGCTGTGTTTACAAAAATTCTCTGAAATGTTACCTAGAATCTTCTTTCCTGTGTACAGAAGGGGTTGGACTAGATGATCCCTGAAGTTATTTGAGTTAAAATTGAATTGAGACTTGGGCAGTGAAAATTTTGACAACATTTAAATGATTGGTTTGGCCACCTTTTCAATCCAAGAATTTAGGAAATGAGTAATAATTTTCATCCATATTAGGACCTTTTTTTAAAAAAAGTTTTTCTCTTTCTACAAATCTTCTATCTTTAAGTTGTAAAGGTTTTAAGACCTCATTTCATAAATTATAGAATACACAGTTAACAGGATACTATATTATATATGGAAAAAATATTCATTTATAAATAATAAAAAGATTTTCTTATTCAGTATGTTCAGCTCAGTTAACTGATTTTGTTACCAGCTGTAAAATTGTGTTGTATAGAATTAAACTTGGCAAGGAAAGCTTAAAAAGTTTAGAAATACCAAGGGTCAGGATTTGGGAGATACTAGTAAAACACAACACAATGTATATTATATATTTCTTTATCAAGAATATTAAATAAAGTTCTAGTGAAATTTCATTATGTATTTTCTTCAGGACTCTCAAATTGCAGACATACTGTCAACATCAGGAACTGTGGTTACCATCACAATCATGCCTGCTTTTATCTTTGAGCACATTATTAAACGGTAAGTACACAAATTCTTCAGCTTAACATATATAGATGTGAGACTTTATACAAGTACCATATTTTAATTTCCAAACCTTTGGTTCTTTTACCTTAAAGATGACCTTGGTATTTATTTAGAAATTTGGAAAATATTACTTAAATCAGAGGAACTGTTAGGTAAGGCCCCTTGCAACTTCCCAAGTATGAATTAAAATTCACTGTACCCTTGATAAATTTTAACAGTGCCTAATAAAGGGTTTTCAAAAAGAGGTAACTTGCTTTCAATTTGTAGTATAAATGACTACAGTAGCACTATGCCTATATATAGTTCCTTTGCTCAGTAGAAATCTAGTTATGTTGGTTTGTTGTGGTGAGTTCTTTCTTTTATTGGATGTTAAGAATAATAGTTTCAGCCAGGCATGGTGTGATGCCTACAATCCCAGCTACATGGAAGCTGAGGCAGGAAAATCAAGTTAAGAAGCCAGTCTCAGCAACCCAGGAGACTGAGACCCTTTCTCAAAAATAAAATTTAAAAGGAGCGGGTAGTGTAGCTCAGAGGTTGAGTGCTTGCCTAGCATGTGCAAGGCCCTGGATTCAGTCCCCAGTACTGCATACAAAAATTACAGAGTAACTGTTCTCTCTAGCATCTCAAGTAGAGGTGTGTGGTTCTGCTATTCGTCCTTGGGACAGGATTAGGAAGCTCAGTGTAAAAAATTGAATAAGGCTACTTTCACTAGCACTTTTCAGATCTGAGCTTCTATCACAACTGTTTTTGCCAAGCCAACTTCAGAATTTCTATCATGCATGTGGAAATGAGATTTTACAAATTCATTAACATGACCTGTGTAATGAAAATTTTTATGTGGTTCTGGGTAGACTGCACAGCTTCCCTATCTTAGAGAAGAATTACTTTCAAGACTAATTTTTCTAGAGTTCTCTTTCTTTTTTTGTTGGGGGTAGGATACTGAAGATTGACCTCAGGGCAATTGGACCACTGAGCCACAACCCCAACGTATTTTATTGAGAGACAGGGCCTTACTGAGTTGCCTTGCTTTTGCTGAGGCTGGCGATCCTCCTGTCTTAGCCTCCTGAGCTGCTGGGATTATAGGCTTGTGCCACTGAGCCTGCCTAGAGCTCTTTTTCTTAAACTATTTCTTCCCCACTTCCTCTCCAACTTGTTATGACCTTATCTTTTTAAAAATCATCATCCTTAACATTACAAGGACTTACTTACATCTCAATTTGTCTAGCCAAGGTAGATAGCCTTTCATGCTGTTTTCCATCAACAAAATTATCAAGAGACTTAGATCTGAGCTCATTTGGAAGAACTTTCCCAATTTCCTCATCTAATGATAATTGGAGCTCAATTTTAATTGGGGTTTTCTTGAATTTAACATAGCATTAAAAAAAAAAAAAAGCTCCATGTGTAATGAAAGTGACTCTTTTGTAGGATGGCGCCAAGCATCGTGAAAAGCCTGATGGATCACACCATTCCTGAGGTTTAAGTCACAGCACAGTGTAAACACAGCTGAACTTCTCCAGTTTCCTTCTTCGGCAACTTCTGCATTATGCACATGAAGCTTTCCCGGAGCCAGGGAGCATATGCTGCATGAGGACCTTTCTATACATCATGGCTGGGAACCTTACTGTTGCATCTGATACTTTCTTCAGATTTCAAGATAGTTGTAGCCTTATCCTGGTTTTACAGATGTGAAACTTTCAAAAGATTTATTGACTTTCCTAGAATAGTTTCTCTACTGGAAACCTGATGCTTTTATAAGCCATTGTGATTAGGATGACTGATACAAGTTTAGTGTTGTGTGAGAAGCAGTCACTTTTCTTCTAGATAATGCATAGTGCTGTTCATGTTTCTTTAGTTGTATGGTGTATTTACATTAACATGTTACCATAGTATATTTAGGATGATTGCCTTTGATTGTGTGTGTGTGTGTGTGTGACCAATTAAGTAACACTGATTTCATTCCATGTAAGCATTACAGTGTATGTAGGTTGCAAGAGATTATAATGATTGTTATTAAATTTTAACTACCTTCACTTAATAATGCTTGAACTGTCGCCTTAACTGTGTTAAGCATCTAGAATAAAAGCCAAAATATAATTATTGCTGCCTTTCTAAAACCCCAAATGTAGTTGTATATTAAACTGAAATGTACGCTAGCCCATAACAGTTTAATGGTACTTACTGAGCTATGGCATAACTGCTTAGCTGTATTTGAGATTTTCTAGTCATTGCATAATAGAAATTTCTTTCTTCTAAAATTTGCCAGTATCACTTTCTGAAAAACAAATCGCTATATATTTAATGTAAAAAATTCTTAACGCTAAACAGGATAAACTTTGGACTCCTTTTTTTCATTTGTGGATTAAGTAAGATAATACTTAATTTTGGCATTTGAATCTTAATTTTATGTAACCTAGCTACTTCAGAATGCTCTTAGAATGTTTTCCTAATAATTTGTTGTCCCCTGACTCCTTCCTGAAAACAAAATGGCAGTGACACTTATCCTTTTTTTCTTTATATCTATCCTGTTTTAAATAAATATGTATAAAGTTAAACTTTAGTCTGTTATTGCATCATTTGGAACTTTTGTCAGTTGTCACACTTGTGCATGGCCTTGATGGGCACGTGAAATCTGCTTCCAACTGTGGAAGGCAGGGCACTGCTCTCCATGAGCAGCTGACATCCAGGAGTGTTGAGAACCCCTCAGATCTGAAAGGCTGTAAGTGTTGAAGCTCCTGCCCCAGTTTGCAGTCTGAGGGACGGGTTCGCCTTGTGCACTCAGGCTGTACAGCAGGAACTTGATGAGGCTGTTGATGCTCCCTACCAACACCACAAATCGTGTGTGTGTGTGTGTGTGAATTTGATATTTGTTACCTTGGTTGATTAACAATTTTTCTCCTTATGCTGTACTCCTATAGGATATGACAGTGCTTTCTAAAGAGTGTGGAAAATTTAAAATCATGATTATAGTGGTTCAGAAGTTGAACCTGAAAGAAAATCAGTGCTATTGCTATATAGGTTACCATGTTTGAAATTTAGTACATTTCCCAGTTTGATTATCTGTTTGGCCTGGACTTGAGTCTGAAGACAGTGATATGAAGAGTTCTGTGACTTCTGAAACTAGTGTTTTCTAAGAAGATCAATACTTGTGATTTGTAAAAGCTACTAGTGTTTATAATCAATTTAAGTAAGAAAATGAAAACTGCTCTCATTACAGAAAAATATTTTTAATGTAGAAAAGATGAGCATTTAATAGCTTAATGAAATACAAACCATTCCTATACACAGTAAACTTACTGCTATAAGAACTGCTAATCCTTTCCCAGGTTCTTAGAAGCTGGGGACAGCATCATAGAAAGTAACCACTCCATGAAACACATTCGTAAAAACCCAGTGTCAGCAATTGATAGATCAGGAAGACAAAACAGAGTGACTCAGAAGTAGCAGACGATAACTGCACATTTTTTGTGGGGAATTCTAAACTGTTGAGTGCTTTCTGATGTTTCCCCAACCCAGTTTAGTATCTCTTGGCTTCTCTCTGCCACCCAACCCAGTCTTCTACCCATCATCACACTGGGATGTAATATTTTCTCCCTAACGCTCATAATTCTATCTGCCTTAGTGGATGGCAACTAATGGCTTTCAAAAACGAAATCACCATGATTTAGAAAGTTTAAAACCACAAATTTTCCATGTGGTAACACTTCTAATTACTACCATTGCACATTCACCAGTTCTTTTAAAAGTTTTGTTTAAAAATACTTTAAATAGAATTTAATGTTCAAGAGAGGAAAAGGCACTTAATACTGCAATTTCCAGAACATAATTTGTCTGTCTTCCCCTCCTGTGATGATGCTGCTACACTGTTCATTCATCCATATGCAAGTCACAGCACCTGAAAGGAAGACACATTAGGTAGGAAGGTGACCAGGAGGTAGCCAAAGATACACTCTACTGTAATGCTCACTCTTTGCTTGCTATTCATTTACAAAGAAGAAAAGTAAGTACTACTTGTCTTTTTCTCTAACAAAATCCTTGTAATAAATTAAAGCACAAGCTTGGTACAAAGAACTTATGAGGAATAAAAAAGAAACCATTTCAATGTATATCTAAAGCCAAAAGAACAGGAATTATTCAGGAAATGGATTGGAAGGGATCAAATGTCAATTAGAACTACTGTAGGAATAAAATGCGTAATTTTTAAGATATACATTTAATAAAAAATAATCATGAAACTGGGGCACAGGAGAGGATAAAAGTGGGAAAATCACAGCAGGAAGTCAATAGCTACTAGAATTAAAAACTAAGTCCTTCAAACAATGAGGAGAAAAACATGCAAGTTTATACAAACATGACAGTGAATCTCCAAGAGATGATACTACCAGATGGAAAAAGAGAGCAGAATAGTTCTATATTACACTTCATGTATCCTACAGTTTTAGGCACATACACCTTCTCATTAAAGAGGATGTACATACACAGCATATGCTGATGAATGTCCTCCCAGGAGGCCTGGGACACAGGAGTCAGCAGTGTGACAGCAAAAGGAGGAAGCCTAAGTTTTAAAATTTTAATTGTATTATTTCTGGCTTCTTAAAAACTTCACTATATATTATCTTTAAAAACATTAGATAACTCTACTATGGTTTTTAATTCTCCATGTGAAAGTTAACATTAAGATTTCCTTTTTGGAGTTAAATATCTGTCAGCATGAAACCAAATCCTGGGCTGGAGCTGGAGCTTGGTGGCAGAGCACTTGCCTAGCATTTGTGAGGCACTGGGTTCGATCCTTAGCACCACATAAAAATAAATAATGACATTCTGTCCATCTACAACTACAAAAAAATTAAACAAATCCTCAGCTACCTAAGAGATGAGGATCACAGGCCAACCAGGGAGATATACAGAGCATGAACATGTGGGGTGTTTTCTGCCTGAGATGTGTTCCCTGATGGAAGAGGTGGGCTGAGTGTCTTAGAAGTGACGATCAGGACAGGTGCAGTAACTGCTTACCTGTGTGGCCCTGTATTCTCTCACTGATTTTTGCTCCAAGGAGATCCCAAACGAGCAGCTCACCAGACTGACTTCCAGATAAAACGGAATTTCCATCCCAGATAAAGCACCTGCAAGTGATTTGGAAATGATCATTCTGTCATTATGAAGGAGGGGTAGGTTACATTGACCAAACACCCAAATGAAATGATTGTGTGTTTGCAAATGTCTTCATCGTCTGCTTGGGAACTGTACCTCTGGGGCTTGTCTGACGTCAGGGAGGAGATGAGCATCCCTGTCTGCACATCTATTACATTCAGACAGCCATCTGCTCCTGTGCTGAGGACATGGCGACTGTCTGCAACACAAAATAAGATACAGAGGGATGACTTCAGACTACTGGTTAGCTTATTCTGAAATTTAACTTCTGAATCCAGTGGCCTACTATCCACTATTGCTCCCCTTGAACTTATGTTTAAGCAATAACTATACTGTCCTTGAAATGTTTTTATCTAAGACACAGGGATGAGATAACTCTGTGAGTTCATTTATATCTTACACATTAATTTCCCTAATAAGTTGAGAAATTAAGAAAAACATCCAATCCTTTTCTAATAGGCACCAGTGACACAGGTATAGTGTATATCATACCCTGGCCTTAGCTATAGGCAAACTCTTTCTAGCAAATAGTATTTTCCATTTAAATTTTTACCATTCATTTCAGAATTTTAATATACATGGTATATAACCTGTATTAAAAAGGATAATACCTACCTGGGCTAAAAGCGGCATCATAAACAGTCCCTGAATGGCATGGAATCTGGTGCAATAGGGTGGCCGTAGCAAGGTCCCAAATATTCACCGTGCCTTCCTTGGTGCCTGAAACCAACAGTGTGCTTGCAGCATTTAAACTGATTGTATCCACCTACAGAAGAAAACAGGAATACATATTCCATTTGGAACAATGATCATTAGCTACATTTTCCCAGGCTGATTCAATTATATGGTCAAAAGATATAAAGTGTCACACAGTGTGCTGGTGTTGCTAATCCAAGTGCATTTCAACGGCATCCTACTGAATGATAATTTATTTTAAAATGAAGTAGAATTACTCATATGCTGCCAAATACAAGCAGAAATGAAAATAAAATATTGCAAGGGCAATTGTAATAATAGCCTAACACTGATAGTCTCAGGCTGATCCATGACTATTTGAGGGATTTATAAGGAGTGGAGACTCGATCCACAAAATTACACTGGCATACCATCTTGAATTACATACTCAATATTTTTTAACTTCAGTTGTTCTGAAGACCATGAATATTAGATATCAATTAACAGTCTTAGGAGAAAGGCAGTGCTACTATTATAGACTAAGGTACAGCACTGAGACCCATGAAAACAATGTGCAAGAACTAAGATCCCTTTTGGTTCTGCTACCAGGCTGTGTACAATTGGCCGTCCTAAATGGCAGGTAACTGTTCTCAACTATGAGATGAGTGTCTCCTAAACAGATGGGTCCCATCTACCTTCTAGGTCAGAAGACATGGTCTCATCTTGGGTTGACAGGCCCCAGCTTGCTGCCCCAAAGAATTTGAGGCTCAGAAATTGATATTTTAGAAGTCGAGAGGTATAGAAGCTAATTCTCAGAAAAATGTGGAAAGATGCACATTGGAGGAAAAAGAAAGCAGACTCAGAAATGTACAGTTAACTTGAAAAAGAGTTATCCTATAATTTCCAATAAGCAAAATACAACAATGCCAATGAATTAATACACACAAATATAACCAGGAACTGCCTCCCCACCCACCCCTGGACCCTCAGCTTTCTGCAGTTCTGTTGCTGGTACTCACACTGACTTCATGTTCCAGCTCAGCCAACAAGTCAAACTGGTGTTTTTTGGTGCCTGGCATCTCTGCAGGAACACCAGACCACACCTAGGGGGGAACATATTACAGGAGGTATTTTTAAACTTTACCTATAAAATAATTTTCACCTGTTTGGAAAAACTGTCTTGACTTACTTCATTTAATATACTTGCTGATGAATCTAAGCTGATTACAGTCCAGCTCCTCCTCCCTGGGGCCTGCACTTCCCCCATGGCCCCCCATCAGCGCGTGCTTGTTTACAGGTGACTGTGCCTGTGTCTGTCCCTGTCAGTTGCTGCTATAATTATGTGCTCTAAGTATTTTGTGAATAACGAAATATGAATGCAGCAGTATAGTGTCATTAATGTTTGAAATTTTACTAAAATTAGGTACAGGCAAATAATCATATCAAATAGGAAAAAATTCCTGAAAAATTCCTGAGGGAATTCTAATGGCTTTAAGGGTCTTGCTTTCTTTTACATAAATATAAATTGAAAACTTAAGATAAACACTGATGTGATTTTTGTGGGAATGTTGTGTAGGATTCCAAAGAAAAAGGCTTGCGGAGTCTTACCTAAAAAGAATGGTAAATGAAAATGAAGCATCTGTATGTTTTAGATTTTAAATATATCTTTTAATTATTGTTCCCTTTAACTTGACATTTCCTGATTAACTGATCACTACTAGTTCCAGGC